AGCTATAAACTTGTGTAAATCCACCTATGGTTCCCTGTGCATGGTATAGAACTGCTGTTGTCCAAAAGCTTCAGTCTCTGGGTTTGGCTTTCTTCCTAGGGGCTACATATAACTGAGTTTCCAGTGATTTTTAAAAAATAATCCTCAGTAAGAACATTTTACATTGTGACTCAGAACACCCACATAGATAACAGAAACAAATTTTATGAAACATTACTCATCCTTATAATGTGTGGATCACTTTAATGGTTTCTCTTCTCAATTTTTAAAATATACTGCTTATAATCCACTGTTTACACAGTCTTCTCATGAGTCAATGTGCACATTTTAATAAACATCATCATCCAACAGATTTCAATCCAAACAACACAAAATGTCTCTCTTATGCACAGTCTACTGAGGAAGACAAATATAGAAATAGGTAATAACAATAAAGCACAAACAGCAGAATACAAATTTAAAAAAGAATGCTCTAGGAGCAAACAGGAAAAAGAGCTAATTTTTTTTTTTTTTATGGAGTTGTTGAAAAGGTTTCATAAGCAAGTAATTTTGAATTGAGTCTTGAAGGATGGTCAGGAAATTGTTAGTAGAGAAGAGAAAGACGAGATTCCCTCCATTTCAGAAATATGTGCTCTGTAACAGAACTTCCACGAGGCTGAGGACTGGTCTTCCTCAATTGTTTATTTTTGGTTCCTAGCATGTTTGGCACCAGTAGGTGCTCGCTAAGAGTTTGGTATAGGTTCCCAAAGTAATTATTCCAAGACCTACTTGGGTCTAACCCTATCCACCAATAAATTGTGTAAATTTGAGCTTCTTTGACCATTTTTTTTTTCTTTTCACTTCTCTTGGGGCCATTTTCTTTTTAATTCACACAATTAACTTTTGTTAAAGGCACACTGTGAGTAACATTTGAAATCAAAACCCCAATTGGTTTCTACTGCTCCATCTGCCAGATTTAGTTAAGAAATTCATCCAGTGGGACCCACCAGTAAAATCCACACTATATCACTGTGAGACTCCAGCTGAGCCCCCTTTGCTGATCTACAGCGAGCGTAAGGCCTAGAGGCCAGGCGGGGCTGCCTGTTCCACGCTTCCTTTCCTTGAGCCCACCCTGGGCGCACTTGCCTCTCCCCCTTACTATACTGAAGCCAAAGGGAACAATTGGACTTCTACGTCCTTACACTGTTGCCCACAAGGCTCTGCCCCTTCTGTGATGCTGTTGTGAAATTGGATGCCTTCTCTAAGATTCCTGCAGTTTCCTCATGGTCTCTTTGGCTCTGAGTCCCAAATCACCATGAATTCTTGATATCACTGTGTTTACATTTTATGAGGGACTGTTCTATTCTCTGCTCCATGTCCAAGATTTGCCATCTACCGCAACCTCAAGCCAATCCACAAGGCTTCTCCCGAAGGTCTGGGTGATGGAGAGTGCTTACATTACCGTATTTCTAGCTGTTCTCTTTTCAAATATTACCTACTTTTCAGTTTTTTAGGTCAGATATGACTCTCTCTTCAGTCATGCCTTAGGAATCAATAAATTGCTTTGTTATGCAGATAATTTTAGATGTCTCCTTTCTAGTTCTGGGCTTCTCTCTGCCTGTCCCAAATTCATCTGTATTGGACAAATGCAATGTTCCTAATAGTTTCCTCATTTCAGTGACGTGCTATGGGAATGGCAGAGAGTGAGAGTGGGTGCAAACAACAGGGGAGTGCCTGTTGGTACAGAATTTAAAAGCAATAACAGCCCTGGTTGATGTGGTCCAGTTGGTTGGAGCGCCATCCTGTAGACCAAAAGGCCCCGGGTTCAATTCTCTGTCAGGTCACATACGCAGGTTGCAGATTCAATCCCCTGTCGGGGTGAGTATGAGAAGGCAACCAATCAATGTTTCTCTCTTACATCTATGTTTCTCTCTCTCCTTCCCTCTCTCTCAAAAAAGCAATAAAAAAATGTCTTAGGGTGAGAATAAAAAAATTTTCAAACAATAGTAAAACCAACTAAAAGTTGGTCTGTTTTCTGTTATCACCATGTACCAGCAATTCTAAATGATGTCAGTAATAAAATACTCCTCCCCACTGAGTACGCTCCACTGTCACCCTTGTCCACCCTGCCCTACCCCCACCTTGGTAAACACTGCTCCATCTAGGAACCCAAAATGGGCAGGCACTTTGAAATGTTCATCTTTCTCTTCATCTCTGCCAGGGAGTTTCTTTTTTCCACGCACAGGGGACTTCCTCTTTCTTGACATTCTTTTTTTCCCCTTGGTGTCTATGCTACCACTCTCTCCTGGTTTTTCTCCATTGCCTCTGCTTACACTTCCTTTGTCTTCTTCCAAAAATTGTTCCTCCCCTTCCCTAAACTAGGCAGGAAGAAGGCATGGTTAGTTTATTCTAAGGATCAAGTTCTGCGAGCTACTCTTACCCATGCTTCGCCATGCCAATGCAGCTGAAGGAAAAGTAGAAAAGCATCACGTTCCAGAAAGAATTTTCAGGCCCAGGAAGAGAGGAGTGTCCTAGATGAGATGAGCAAGAAGGACAAAGTGTGAGGGGAAGGCACGGCTGGTCATTTGTGACGTGAGTGAAGCCGCTGCCCTGAGGTCTGCTGTGGGAACATCCCACGCAAGATGCTTGCATAGGATTTTAGGAATGAGTCAACAAGATAGAGCCCAAAACTCTGTGACAGAATTATATTACTCCATAGCACAGCGCACGGTGTGACTCTTTTAGCTAGAGGTACTGGTGGGTTCTGGGCTGTAAAGGCAAAAAGATCAAGGTGGAGGGGGGCACCACGAGCAGGTGGCCAGCGCACACCAGGCCCTGGGCCCCTCTCCTGTGCTCATCTTCATATGGGCACCTTGTGCATCCTCCAGACCAGAGCTGCTCCTCGGTGGTGCCCAACCTCACACATGGCCAGGTAAGGACAAGCAGAAAGTTTGGCCTCTTAACCATGGTTTGTTCCACAGGCCACCAAATGGCTCAGTGATTGGCAAGGTTTTTATGGAGAGGCGGATGTCTAAAGAGCATTCCCAGCCCTGTGGGCAAGGGCAGAGTGCAGGGCCCACCTCCCACACCAGGGAAAGTAACAGGTGTTGCAGTGTCCAGAACGGAACAGGAACAAAAGACATGCAGCCTCTTGTGTCACATGCATTTACAAGTGTAGGCAGAGGCTGAACACCCACACTATGGTCCCTAACAAGGGAAGGTTCATTGTCTTCCAGCTCTGGAGGTGGAAATCTTCAAACCTTCATTAACCTCTTGTTGCATGCTGCTTATAGTTTTAAACTAGTATGTTTTTCTTTCCACATCTGTGATTTTTTTTCCCCCAGACCTCATTCAGGAAATAAGGGCACCGTGTGGCCATCTCATGGTAGAATAAGCATAGATGTTCCAGGAGTTTTTTTCATTAATTAGCATCAATGTGAAGTACTGATTAAAAAAACAAGACCTCTCTGTGTTTCAGGGAGACATTTCAGTCCTCAAATTCATGTAAACAGCGAAGATTTACCTAGATTTAGCTCAATTTTTATTTGGAGCTCCATCACCATCAGCATTGCTGCTGATTCCATAGGAAGAGTGGAAATTCACTCACAACATTTTATGGCTCATCTCTGCCTCACCTCACAGCTCCTGCCCGCTCTGTGCCGTTGTTGAGAATTACCCAGGGACTGCCGCACAGAGACATCACTGCCTACTCACTCGTATCAAGTCCCTTGTGATCTCTCTGGGGTACCTTTTGCTCTCCCCAAGAACTTGGCCTAGTTAGCATCAGACATGGGCCCCCTCTGCAGAACCCACCAATGCTCTGGGCCTCTGGGCCTCAGGAACCACTTGGGAGGCTGTGACCATTTCTTTCTGGAAGATTCCTAACTCTTCAGACCCCAACAGCAGACTGCCTCCCATCTCCTCCCCAGTCAAGGGAACTCTTAATTATTATTTTAGACCACAGGTACTCCCTCCATTGTGATGTTCACCCTCAGTGGCATCTCACTTAATGCCTTAGTGAGTTTGGGCCTTAGCCAGAGACCAACAGCAGGCTGTTTTCTGCTGTTGTTCTCCTCTCCCAAGAGTTAACTTCAACTGGCCCAACTTCTCGGATGGAGGTAGTTGTGGGAAAAGTTCAGGAAAAAAAAATACATGGGAGAAAAACATTAATTAATGTTTCAATATCACTCTAATACTGGTGTATATTTGTACTTTCTCAGAAGTGGGCCCTATCTCTAGCTCAGATCATTTCATTGTACCTGAGACTCATATTAACTTTTCAACTTACCAGTTTCACACAATGAAATTTGTTTTCTGTTTTGTTCATTTGTAGGATCCATTGACACAGAACCCCTGACTCAAAGGAGGATTTGAAATTACCTCAAACCTACACTTAAGCTATACTTGTTTTATCCAATGGAGGTAGTATCAATTTTCTAGTATCTCCTCACCACATAGAGAAGCTCCCCACCAATAAGGAGCTGGCTCTTGTGTGTTGAGGAGCTAGCTACAATGTAAGGGCCTTATTATCATTTGTATAATAATAGTTTCTGATTTGTAGTTGGGTCATGCTGCATTAATTATGAACTTTGTGACTTAAACATTATTTAAGAAATAATACTTAATAAAGTCCAAAGTGGTTTTGTTTAATTTGTATAGTGTAAATATAATTAAGTATATTTTTCCAGTGGGTGGTGGGGGTGGGAAATGGGAGAACTCTCCTCATCAACAAAATAAAAATAGACTTTCAGATCCCAACAGAGGTAAATGGCAGGTGCTTAAGACTACATTTTCAGCCTGGCCAGGTGGCTAAGTTAGTTGGAGTGTTGTCCAGTGCACCAAAAGGGTGTGGTTTGGTCAGGGGCCCATACCGGAGGCAACCAATCTATGTTTCTATCTCACATTGATGTTTCTTAGTGTTTCTCTCTCTTCTCTCTCTGCTCGATGTTTCTCTCCCTCCCTCTTTTTCCTCTCCCTTTCTCTCTCTAAAAATCAAGTAAAAAAAAAATATCCTCAGGTGAGAGACTACACTTTCAGGGGCCATTTTTTAGAGCATGTTACCAGAGAAGTGTTTCTGAAGACTGCAGAGCGACAGCGCATCAGAAACCCTGAGGGTGAGCTGCAGGGCTCTCATCTGTGTGAAGCTGGCCCGTAGCGCCACCTGGTGGTCCCAAGGCTTGTTGCTGAAAACGGTTCTTCCTTAAAAGAGGACACAGAGGGATTCCTTTCTGATGTAATTGCTTGCGTTTTGTTCTTCATTCTCATGGTTTGTTTCCTTTCCAGTCAAGAGAAGAGGTTACATCTGGTTATGTTCTTTTATTTCAATTTCTTATGGCAATATTAAGGGTGTATTTTGTAACAAAAACTCTCGAAAAGGTAAATTAAAGGTTTAACTCTAGCCCTGACCAGCGTGGCTTGGTGGGTTGAGCGTCATCCCACAAAGCGAGGGGCTGCAGCTTTATTCCCGGTCAGGGCACGTGCCTGGGTTGCAGGCCGGTCCCCAGCTGGGGAGTGTGGGAGGCAACTGATGCATGTTTCTCTCGCACATCGATGTTTCTGTCCCTCTCTTTCTCCCTCCCCTCCCCTCTCTCTAAAAATAAATAAATTAAATCTTTAAAAACAAAAAAGAGCCGCCTTGCAGACGCCGCCGCCACGGTTCTTCCCGCGCCCAGCCATGGTCAACCCCACCGTGTTCCTCGACATCGCGGTCGACGGCGAGCCCTTGGGCCGCGTCTCCTTCGAGCTGTTTGCAGACAAAGTTCCAAAGACAGCAGGAAACTTTCGTGCTCTGAGCACTGGGGAGGAAGGATCTGGTTATAAAGGCTCCTGCTTTCACAGAACTATTCCGGGATTTATGTGCCAGGGTGGTGACTTCACACGTCACAACAACACAGGGGGCAAGTCCATCTATGGGAAGAAATTTGATGATGAGAATTTCATCCCGAAGCACAACAGGTCCTGGCACCTTGTCCATGGCAAATGCTGGACCCAACGCAAACGGTTCCCAGTTTTTCATCCGCACTGCCAAGACTGAGTGGCTGGACGGCCAGCATGTGGTCTTTGTGAAAGACGGCATGGACGTTGGGACAGCCATGGAGCGCTTTGGGTCCAGGAACGGCAAGACCAGCAAGAAGATCACCATCACTGGCTGTGGACATCTCTAATACATTGGACTTGTGTTTTATCTTAACCACCAGACCATTCCTTCTGTAGCTCAGAAGAGCACCCCTTCACCCCCACCTGCTTGGAATGTTCTATAATCTTCGTGCTCTCACTTCGCCACAGTTCATTGGGTTCCGTGTTTTCCTTACCCCTTCCAAGTCTAGCTGGATTGCAGAGTTAAGTTTATGATTATGAAATAAAAACTAAACAATTGTCAAAAAAAAAAAAAAGATTTAACTCCTCACTACTACTTTTTACCAAAAATTTTCTTTATCAGGCAAAGCAGTTTTCTCTGTTTATTTTTATACAACAGTATATAGTACTATTTTATTTTTGAATCAGTATATTCTCACCAAATGTCCACAATAGTACATGTGTATGTCATTACTGTCTTTATTTATTTATAACATCTTAAGATAGAACAAACCATAGTATATTTAGCCATTGATGTGCCATACTATATTTAGCTATCAGGTTTCTTTTGATTCTTTGCTGTAATAAGCAGTGCTACAATGAATATTCTTGTGTGTTGTGTGCATATGTGTGAGTTTTCCTTGGGAGTAGATATGATGTGGAATTACTGAGACAAAGAGTACGTTTAAGTTCTAAGTTTTGTTTCAATTCAATACTCATAGTTTATACCCTGTCAACAGTGTGCGAGGTATGTGTCTTGTCTCCATTCATATTCTGTCTCTCTTTCAAGCTAGAGAAAGGAAATAATCTTATCGTTGCTCTAATTAATTCCTCTGATAACTAAATAGATGGAAACTTTTTATATTCTATGGCCTTTCACAATATTTTCTTCTGGAAATGCCTATTAATGTTTTATACAGTTCAATATTGAATTGTATGAGTTTTTCCATTTTTCATATTTAGGAGTTCCTTGTATATTCTGGTTATTAGTTCTTGGTTATATTGTACTACTCTTTAATTTTGTATATGGTGTCTTACTCAGAAGTTATCAATACTTATATAATTAAGTTTATCAATCTATTTCACAGCTTTTTCTTTTTAAGAGGATTTTGCATAGTTTTAAAAATGTATTTTAAACCTGAAAGTTTGTACCTTTTGATCACCCCTCCCCCGCATCTCTCCCACCCTCCATCTGCTAGAGTACAAGGATGGTGCCCACCAGTCTCCATCCTGGAAAGTCCCAGCAGGCTGTCAGATGTGTTAAATTAGATGCCTGAGAGGCAGGCATTTTTAACATAAGCAAATGAGCCTCTTCACTTAAAATCCAGGCTCTGTTGGCCACTTCTGCTCTGAACCCTGGGGTGGGCAGGTCTGAGCATGTACCTGTTTGAAGGGCCGATTCTCAGATTGCTACAGGTTTGGGGGTCTTGTGGATGGGAGCCCTGTTAGTTTTCAGAACCGATGTCTTCTCTCTGGTGCAGGTTTTAAAAGTTGGGGTCCTGATGTGGGGTTCAAATCCTTCCCTCCTCAGTAAGAATATTTGGGTTTTGAATTCCCTCCAGCTTGTGGATTTCCACAGTGGGGTATGAGGGTTTATGGCAAGATTGTGACCCAGCCTTTCCTATTTGCTTTAATGTGTTTTTCTCCTTTTTGGTCCAATGTGTAGTCATAGCTCAGTCAGCCTTTAGGTTTTTTTCCAGAGGAAATTGCTTCATATGTAGCTGTGAACTCGGTGGATCTGTAGGAAGAGGTGAGTTCAATCATCTTGAACCAGAACCACTTCATAATATTTACAAAAAATTTCTTTAATTCATTAAGGTTCTATTTCAACTTTTTCAATATGTATGGATAGAACTTGTTGAATAGATTACCTTTCTGAACTAATTTGAGTAGCCATCCTTTTCATATAATAAATATCAATGTATACAAGGATTTCAAGGTCAGAAGAGATATTCTAGCAAGTTTGGGAGAAATTGGTATTTTCACGACATTTGGAGCTTGCACGTGAAATCAATCCCCTGAGAATATTGTGTAGAGTAAGAAGGAAAATAAAGGAGATTGAAGCTACAACTAGAGATCTGATGTCTGCTGCATCTAAACTCCTTGGAGGAGCTGCATTTCTATCCAAGGTTGGTAGGAGCCCCATCAAGAGCACAGGGTCCCGTTTCCAGATTTGGCTCAGGTCACCCCTGGTGGTTCCTGAGGCTCTACTTTGCCCCTTGATATCCCCTGATCTCTGATCAGCATTAACTCCTCTGTAGCACCCCTTGCTGGAGGAGGGATTGGTTCCTACAACGAGGGGTATGACTGATATTTCATGCATGCAGGCTATGGATGCTAAAAATCACAGGATGACGGAACCATTTTGCACAAATGCACAACTGTCTTTCCCAAAATGCCAAAAGCATCTCCTTGGAGAAACCCAGGAAAAGATATCAGCAAGGAGGCTATTGCAAATCTATGAAAGAAATAATGAAGACATGAGTGAATGGTGGCAAAAGAGCTAGAGGAAGGGATGAGTATAAGGGTTAATTGTGAAGTAAAATCACCAGGACTTGGTTGTGGTTGGATGACCCACAGTAAATAAAAGAGAGGAGTCAATGAAAACTCCCAAGAGTGTAGCTTGGGCAACTGGGTGACTGAAGAGTTTCCCTATCAAGATAGAAATACAGGCACAGATCTGGGTAGGTAGGAAGTGACTAATAGAATTCGGAACATGGTGAGTTTGAGGTCCCTGTGGGAGATTGTGTGTGGCTACCTGGCAAGCCAAGAGTTTCTGGATGTGTAAGAAACAGGTAGAGAAAAACTAATCACACACAACAGACTGAGAGGAAGCAGCCAGGTTTGAGAAGCACTCATGACCTACGTGTCTATACAGGTAACTAGCGTTTGTGGGAAATGTCCCAGCAACATGCACAGACCACCGGTAATCCTGAGCCAGCCTTGCTTCCACAGTGAAGCCTGCCTGTGGCCTTGAGGATCCACCATAGCTACTGTGGGGCTGGCCCTGGCTTGCAGTGTGCATGCTCCCAGGCTCCTGGCTGCACCAGACACAGGAGGCCCTTCCTGCTGTGAGCCGAACCAAGCCGTGGCAAATGCAAATTCAGTAACAGTGGCACTTTCATAGCTCTATGTCTCCTGAAGGAAACAGCGAGGGGAGGAAAGATAGTAAAACTATTCATCACGTTCCCTCCCCTGTGCAAGGGTGGCTGAGGGAGGGCATTTTAACCGCAAATGCCTCTCACTTATGTCCAACTGAAAAATAAATTTGATGTAGATTATAATTGTTGTCAATGTCATATAAAGTCCTCAACAAACACTGCTTCAAGCTCCTCTTACTTACAGACTGCTGCATCTAAGCCCTCCTGCAACAAAAACCTAGGGTTTCTCCTAATCCCATCCTTATTGCTTTGTGTACCTGACATCCTCGTTCTTAATCCTTTCAGGGAAGTGTCAGCAATGCTGAGTCCAAGAAGGAAGGATTCTCAGAACATTGCTCTCAGTTGAAAAGGACTGGCCAGGATAATTTGCAAATTAGAAGCATAATTTGCGGATTAGAAATGTACTCATCTTCTCTTTCCCACTGCAGTAACTATTCTCTCCCTAACTTCAAATCAGGAAGGAGAACCAGGATTTAAGACACATCTTTGCTGGACCACTCAAAGAGGGCTTTTCAAAGGGGTGGCACTTATGTTGAATGAGAAAGATTAGGCTACTTCTAGCACTCACAACTTACATTTATTTCAAAATATCTTTGCTGTTTTTCAAAATGCAGCTTTCTTCCCACCTGCATCAAAACTCCTGGGACATCTGTTAAAACTGCAAATTCCTGTGCTTCACCCCAGACCATGCAACCTAATCTCTGAGGGTGGCATTTAGAAATCAGCAGGTTAAACAAACACCCATGTTGTTTCTTCTGTACACAAGAACTGCGAATCACAGAGAGTTTTGGTAATAAATAAACACCAAGTCTTATTTCACTCAGCCTCAAAAATATCTGAGTAGCATAATACAGGGCATTGTTTTTCTTCTCTTCTTTTCTCTTTTCTTTCTTTTTAACTAGCAAACCTATTTCTTTGAATATTATCTCAGCCAAATGCTCAAGACATGCAGTGAAGCAGAGCAGATTTGCTCAGGCAGGGGCGGGAAGGGGTGAAAAC